CAAATGAGTACGCTATTATTCAGAGTTGAATACCTCTAATCATAAATAAATACATTCGTTCACACATGAATGGACTGCTAATCACAAATGAATACACTACTATTCATAAATAAATATGCATTCTAACATAAATGAATTTATCAAAATATAATATAACTTACATCTAAAAAATACAGAACATAATAGCTCAAATTCTTCACTTTCATCTTCTCAAACAAATCCAAAGGATCTCAACAAAACCCATTTGGAAGAACTCTCAGAACCTTCAAAGTCAGTTCAAAACTTTCTCTCGCATCTCTCTGATTAGCAATAATGCACTTGATATCGATAATGTTTTTTTACCTTTGTCGAGAAGCTACCACCAGGACCCTCGTTCCTCTCCTCTAACTTCCTATTGTTAACCAATTCCATCCAAGAGCTCGTCCCAATCATCATAAATCTTAAATTAAAACATGGAACACTGGTCACTCTTTCTATTGGTTCTCGTCAACTTATCTTTGTCGGCAACCAAGATCTCGCCCACCAACTCCTCATCCAGTGAGACTCAGGCTTCTCTGGCCGCCCTAGCACCTTGGCGACTCTCAACATCACCTCAGCCTCGTACTACCCTAGTTGGAGGGTCCTTCGTCGCAATCTTGCCACTGAGATCCTACAACCCTCCTGCGTGAAGTCCTATTCCTTGGCTCGCAAGTGGGCCCTTCAAACCCTTATTGGTTGCTTGCAGCAGCAGTCACATATATAATTGTTGTGTGATGATGACGGTAGCGGTTGTGTTGTTGGCGGATTCGACAATCACGATGGTAGTGGTGGTGTTTTTTGTCTTGTGTGGCGGCTAGGTTGAAGAAAACTCAAAAGATCGGCAGTGGAGAGATGAGAGGGAAGAGCCATACGTTTTTTTAGTGTTGGCTTCCATCAATTAGGGTTTAAAGGAAACGAGAGAGAGAGAGAGAGAGAGAGAGAGATTTTAGGAGCTGATAAAAAGATAGAACCTAATGACTATAGTACCCTTTTAGTTAATTAAGAAGTTACAATTTAATCCTATGATTTTCAGAATTTATATAAATGTCCCGTTAATATTAACCTTTGATTTTAAAATTTGGAGAGCCTAGATCTGTTCTCGCGTTCTCAACCTTTTAGGTGTTTTCATTTGATCCTATTCCTATATATATATATATATATATATATATATATATATATATATATATATATATATATATATATATATATATATATATATATATATATATATATTGGCTAATTAAAGAATTAATAGCAACCTAAAAGAATGAATTAGACCAAACCTCAATAGCCCACATTGCCATAAAAAATTTACAGAAAGAAGTATGGAAAATAAAAGGGTGTGCCAATGTTTTGTTCTATTTCTGCCATGTGAGAAAAATAAAGAGGCGTCGTCCCCATCGCCATTTGAAGAGACTGCTTGCTCGATGATGCTGATCAATTCTACCCTCATAATTTTATGTGTACAGTCCCAGACATAATCACAAAAATAGTCCAGGGTGCCTTTTATTAGAGACGACCGAAAAACAAAATCAGGATTGAAGTTTGGTATATTTCAGGGAGTAAAAGCGTCGGTTAATCTTTTAAAAGACCTTATATTTTATGTTTTTTTCCGGATTAAACCTCAATTTTTTTTTTTGTGAAAAAGAACTTACATTTTTTCATTTTTCTGATCTACATGTTTTAGTCATTTTTCTATAGACAAAAAGTTGCAAAATGTGAAGGTTTTTTAGGAAAATTTAGAAGGTTGAGAGTTTTCTTTTGAGAAAAAAAGAGACAAAGTTGAGGGTTTTTTAAAAAAAAAATGAAAAAATACAAGGTCGATTTTATGAAAAAAAGAGATAAATATTAGGTTTAATCGAAAAAAAACCCCAAAAAATACAAGTTATTTTAACATAAATGTAAGTTGTTTAATTTGTTTTAGTGATAAATTGTACACCATCATCACATAATTTCAACCTTTTGAATTTTGTGCTTGAATGGTTTTTCAAAAGACGAGAATTCAGATTTATATGTTCATGGTTTGAATTCATTAAGAGCAACACGACTCGTATACCACCTGTTAATTAATTTTAAGAAATCATTTATGTCTCATTCATTTTAAGAAATAATTTATGTCTCATTCATTAAGAGCAACTTGACCGGTTAACTAGGTTACATGCTGACGTGACATGATGACGTGTCAGTTTTGATGATGTGGCATGCTGATGTGTCAAAATTGATTTTTTTTTTCCACAAAAAACATTAAGTTTTCACTTTTTTTTTTTTCGATTTTGAAAGTAAGTTTAATTTTTATTCCAATTTTAACACTATGTTTTTTTTGTTCCAATCGAACATCATTTATCAAACTTTGTTCATTTTTGTTTTTTTTTTTTCATTTGAAACTGTATAAATATATTTTTTATTACATTTTAAATCGTATAAACATATTTTTTTCGTTTAAAAACCACATTTTTATTTAAATACAAGGTGTTTTTTTTTCTTACATTCAAAGCATTAGTTATATCATGAGAATCAAACTAACCATAAGCTTCTAATAAGATGTAAAAATTCGATGGGTTGCAAACTTGATATCCGAGTTTTGATCAACTACACACCTCCAAACCTCCAAACACATTTTAAAGTTCCATATTTAATATAAAATTCAAATATTTATATGGTTTCAAATAGAAAATTGTCAACATTGAACAAAATTGGAAAAAAATGATGTTCGATTTGGAACAAAAAAACAGTGTCAAAGTTGAAAGAAAAAATTAAACTTAGTGTCAAATCGAAAAAAAATGAAAACTTAGTGTTTTTTGTGAGAAAAAAAAATCAATTTTGACACGTCAGCATACCACGTCATCATGCCATGTCAGCATGTAACTTGATTAACCGCTCAAGTGGTCAGAATTGTAACAAATTAAAAAACACAGTGTCAAAATTGACAAAAAAAAAACACGGTGTCAAAATCGAATTTTTTTGTAATAAGAGTGTTTTTTGTGCCATTTATCCATTTTTTATTGATGTTGTTTGAGATTTATTTCTCTAATACCATTATAGAAAAAAAAAATTTCAAAATTAATATTGTCCGTATACTTTTTGTTAATTTTAAGGGTATTTTTATCGGATATATACACTAAAGTCTCAGTATTTTCATCAATTTGACAAAAAAGTCATAAACTTTATTTTTTTGACAACAAAGTTATAATTACCGGCAATTTTTGACATGTTTATCCTTTTTTTTTCGGTTACCCGGTAATTAGAACTTTACTCTAAAAAAATAAAGTTTAGTAATTTCTTGTCAAATCGTGAATTAGGACTTCACAGTAAAAAAAAATAAAGTTTAGGACTTTCTTGTCAAATCGTTGAAAATATTAGGACTTTAGTGTATATATATCTTTTTTTGTTAAAAATTTAATGGTATGATTGTCTTTAAGCATAAGAGTTATTGAAACCTATTCTGGTTAGATAGATCCTATTGGAATCCTTAACATTTGTTTCTTGTTAGATAGTTTTTTAATCTCAACAAACCAATATTGAAAAAATTAAGATAATCAAAAAAGAAAGAAAAAAATCAGGGTTGTGTTGGTTTTTTGCAATCATAAAAATGGAGAACTGAGAAACCAAAACTTTTTTTTGGCCTTCTTACTCCTTCTCCACAATTTGTCATCTCTTTTTAGTTCAAGATTTGACGGCGAACAAAAAAAAAGCTTTACAAGTATTCTTACCCTTTCTCGCTCTTTCTTTTGTATATGTTCCCTTGATCATGATTGTATCGGTAAAGATGATGATGATAAGAAAAACAACGGTGCTACTACGAAAATCATAAGTAATAGTTCTTGGGCTACGAAAATACACTAAAGTCTCAATATTTTCAACGATTTGACAAGAAAGTCTTAAACTTTATTTTTTTGACAGTAAAATCTTAATTTACGATTTCACAAGAAAATCATACACTTTATTTTTTTGACAGTAAAGTCCTAATTACCAGATAATCGGAAAAACGCTAAACATGTCAGAAACTACCGGTAATTAAGACTTTCTTATCTAAAAAATAAAGTTTAAGGGTATTTCCAACCCACCTCCAAACTCCATTTCTTTCCCCATTTCCTACCCAATTCTTCTCCAACCCTATCCCATTTTCACCTCCATTTTTGGAGATATGAATAGTATTCCTCCATATATGGGGGAATAATATTTATATTTCAAAAAATAGAGGTGAAGTTTGGTTGTTAATTTTAGTCCCTCTCATTTTTATTTTATACAATTTTAGTTTATTTTATCTACTAATTATAATTTAAATACATATTTAATATTTATAAAATTATGTTACATACTAATTTATATTAATTAATCATAAATATATAGTTTAATTAGTAGAGTGGTGTATTTGACAATATATATATATATATATATATATATATATATATATATATATATATATATATATAGATGTTATAAAAATGAAATATTCTAGGAATATACTTTTTGGGGTAAAAAATGGGGTAGAAAATGGAATAGGGTTGGAGATAAAACACTATTTACTTCATTTTTTACTCTATTTGTGGGGAAAAAATGAAGATTGGTTGGAGATGATATAAGACTTTCTTCTCATATTAATGAAAAGATTAGGACTTTAATGTATATATCCCTATTTTTATTTATAAAGTACCATCCTTAAACATAAAAACTATACTAAATGTAAATATGAAAAGTATGATAATCTCTAATAATATCTAATAATATATAAAAAGATTATTATATAGTGGTGATATATTCAAATCCATCTGTATTTTCATATTATATTTCAATTTGAAACATTGTATGAGTTGAGATTTAGATCCCCTATCTTTTTCGAATGTGAAGTGTCTCTCTCTATTAGAACTTTAGTTCTCCATAAAGTAGTTATAACTCTATGTTTAATGTAAAATAATTAAGATTTTAAGAAATTTATCTCAATCATCACTTACTTTTTCTTTGATGTTGCATAATTCATTTAGGTCCGGTAGAAAGTGCATTGGATTTATCTGAAGTAGATTGGGAAAAAACTTTTAGAACAAATCTTACAGGATCATGGTTAGTGTCAAAGTATGTTTCTCGTCATATGATTGCTTTCAATCAAGGAGGATCCATAATCAACATGTCTTCTATTTCGGGTCTTAATTGTACTCAATCTCCAGGAAGTATTGCATATAGTTGTTCTAAGTCTGCTTTTAATATCATGACACAAGTGATGTCTATGGAACTTGGAAACCACAAAATAAGGGTAAACTCAATATGTCCTGGCGTTTTTAAATCTGAGATTACGGAGGCACTCTTACAAAAGAAATGGTTAAAAGATGTGGTTTCAAAAATTATACCATTGAGAAATTTTGGCACTACCGATCCCGCTTTGACCACGTTGGTTAGATACCTAATCCATGACTCATCAAACTGCATCACCGGTAACATTTTTATTGTAGATGCAGGAACCACTTTAGTAAGTATACCGATTTTTTCGTCACTTTGAACATACACAGGTTCTGTGACGATATGTTGCCAAAAAACCTTTTATCGGCTTGCTTGTCAACTTATTATATGTAAGATGTTTGTTTTCTTAACATTTCTAATATGGTGTGCTTTGTTTTATTGCAATAATGTGAAATTGATTTATATGAGTAACTAGGATTTTTTTTCTACGCACGTTGCAGCAGGGACCTTTTATATATTATTTTTCAATGTAAAAGAAAAAATGATTTTGTAACAAAATTCATTTTATGTAAAAAATAGAAAAATCTGAAAAAGAATACATAAAAATGAAAAAGTATAGAAGCTTATAAAAATTACATAAATTTTGCTTATGTATAGAAGAATGATATTCAAGCATTATCATTTGTGATCCTGTAAAACAAATTTGTAGTGATTTATTAATCCTTCCTAACAAATAAAGAACCTATTCTTACATGTCATCTTCTCCTTACATTAGACACATTACATTTTCTAAGCATTTTTGTTTTAATGTATTTTCCACATGTATTTTTGTTATTTGTTCCAGTAGGTTTTATTTGACAACTCATTCAATTATTTATGCAAAATCAATATTAAAATCAATTAGAGTAATTGCCGTCAAAACTGTCGGCTACAAATTTGGTTAATGCAGAAAATCACACACCAATTTCAAATTCATTGATAATTGATTTCCAAAAATATGATATTTTTGAAATCTCATAAACTTTTCTCATATACTGTAATCAAATCCAAAGATATGTATAGGTTTTGTTATTTAGTATCGTGATTACTTTGCCGTTTTTTAAGATCAAGTAATTTCTCGTCTCCTACAACAGCAACTAAAGAAGATTAGTTCTGTTAATTTTTTTATTTATTCTTTGCATCAAATTGTATCTTTATTACATTTCATTTTTTCATGTGTGTTGTGCACACGTCGATTCCTGTGTTAATTCACCTGTATTTGTACAATACAAATATATTCTTGTTTATATTCAACTAGCATATAGCATTCTACTTTGTTGTATACATCATTCATGTATTCATGTCTATCGCTCTGTGTCAATATTTATGTATGAACAAGGGCAAAATCGTAACATATCACTGTGTTACAATCCTCTTTACGTTTACGAGATACCAAGATACTAATCAAATTTCAAAAATCAACCAAAAATTGTCTTTTCGGCAATACCTATCGGATAATCCAAAGAAACTGGGACAATTTTAACACAAGGGTATTTTAGGATTTTTTTTTTTGGAAACTTGCATTTTTATGTTTAAGAGTTTGTTTGCAGTCAATTTGATGAAAGTTTATGTACTTAAATGATGTTCTAAATGGTATTAAACTCTCATTTATTGTTCAATAGATGGATCTCTCACTAAAATGTTATTACAATTTAAATATTATTTGTTTTTTTTTTTTTTTATTTCTTAGTTTTTATTTATATACAAAGATTTGAATTTTATTGTTTATTATTTTATACAAAGTCGTTTACTAGGTATTATTTTTGTTATTTATATATTTTGGCCCGTCTAATACACGAGTTATTTTATACCAAGTCGTTTACTTTTTCACATGTTGCTCTGTTACAATCCTCTTTACTTTTACAAGATATCAAGATACTAATCAAACTTCAAAAATCAACCATAATTTGTCTCTTCTGCAATACCTATTGGATAATCCAAAAAAACTGGGATAATTTTAACCCATGGGTATTTTAGGATTTTTTTTGGAAACTTGCATTTTTATGTGTAGCATAATTACTGGTTTGTACCAGCTAAAAAACTCGAGAACAATGAATTTTGGTACATTTCCTTTTGACAAAATCTATGAAGGATGTGTACCACAAGGACTATTTTTCCCCTGCTCAAAAAACTATACAAAGGGTGTGTTACTTTCGTCTTTTCATTCTTTTTTTACTTTTTCATTAGCTATGTTGTTAGGGAAGATTGTTTTAGAAATTTTCTTTGATGGATAGTCTAAAATAAGCATCGCTTTCCAGGATTGCCTTTTTTTTTTTTTTTTTTTTTTTATGTATTTTCAGTTTTATGTTTAGTTATCGATTCAACTTGATGTTCTTAATTCATTATGTCATTATTTTATAGATTTCCTTTGACAGATAGTCTATATGCAAAAAACAACATTTGCACTTTTATTTTTCTATCTAAAATAAGCATCATGTGTTCGTTTAATCAAAGCAGAATTATTCCATGGACATGGACATAATGCCATGGTTAAAAAATAAAGTTTCCAAGTGTTTGGACCAAAAATCATCCCTAATAACTAGCATTTTTTTTTTCTTATCCTTCTCAATTCTCCTTTGATTATCATTGTTAATAATATCCATGTAATAATCTGTCACACCCTAAAACCGAGAACGGCGAAAACGTTCTGGGGCGGAGGACTTCATGTAAAGTATCACAACACAGTATAATAGTAAACAAGTAAACATCATCCATTGCATTAAATATATAATTTGAATACAAGTGTGTTCTGTAGTTTAAGACACCAAAACATGAATCAAAATACAAGATGAGTCTTGTATGCGCTCCATCTTCTCAAAAGCTAGCATCGGTACCTGTTTACTGATGACCTGAGAATACAAGTTATTTTGAAAGAGTTTATCAACATTAAAGCTGGTGAGTTCATAAGTATTTAGTGTCTATGTTTGTATTAAAATGTTTGAAACAGTATTTGAAGTACGGGTTTGTAAACGTTTGTAGTAAAAGTATGTGAATGTTCGTAAGTATTTATAAAAGTTTGAAACTCCTAGAAACTCCTATATTTTCTACTAAAAGTAGCCTTCTACCAAGGCACAACTGTTTCTATGTTTGTTTCTTGTAAAAGTATGTAAATTTTCCCAAGTGTAACTATCATTATCAAAATATAGTTTGTACATTAATGTTTAAGTGAAGTAATCACCAAAATAAATGTAAAGGGTAAATTAATGTAGTGTTGTAGTTTCGTATTATAAGAACTACTGTTGTACTAACTACCTTAAACCAGATTTATATCAAGGTATTATGTGATTAATTGTACCATACTATCGACGGGAAAACACGACAATGTAAGTCATCAAAAGGTATGACGTTTGGCACTCGCAAACCTGCAGGTCCGACTGTAGCTAGCAGCAAGGTGTAGGATAGTCAATCCGGTATAGATCTATACGCAAACTCACGCTCTCCCTCAAGGAGATTCTGGTTACAACTCGGGCCATGACAATGAAGGCATGCTCTGATACAGTGGATCAAATTTATGTTAACGTATTCTTGTATATGTAATGTATTGTTACTCATCATAGTATCGTTGTATATGTTCTCATTCTAGTATAGTTGTATATGTTCTCATCATAGTATAGTTGTATATGTTCTCATTCTAGTATAGTTGTATATGTTCTCATAGTAATAAGTAATGACTCATGAATGAACTGACTCTTGTATGCTTCATTGAACCAGAAGTAGTAAGTAGTATAACTCTAAACTATACATATTATAGTTTATTAGTAAACTTGTTTGTATGATTGAATGTACTGAACTGAGATAAAAGTCTTTATATCTATACATATATTCATAATATATAACTAAGGATTCAACGACACTCGGACAAACAACTGGGTACTTTAAGACCACAACCAAACAAGGACAGGAAGTAAAGTGGGTTATCTCTCCTAAGTCCTTCAAACCTTATTTATATAACTATATATGTAGCAGACATGGTTTTAACAATATATAAGTTTAAAAACTGTATAAGAAAGGTTTAGTATACAAAAGTAAATTTGATAAAGAGTTTGATGTGTAAAATAGTTTGATAAACAGTTTGAAGTCATTTGTTTGGTAAAACAGTTTAAAGCATGAAAAATCCATTTGCATGTTAGTTATTAATCACATGTGATTGATCTAATAACTAACATGGTTCAACTTGTATTCCCCCCCCCCCCCATAAAGCATTTTAAAACATTTAAAAGAATTTCAAAGGTTAATTAAAGGGTATGAACTCACCTGCAGTGAGTGGTTTGTTCGGAAGTGTCGGACAACGTGCTAGGTGTCAAGTGAAGACTTGAACACACACAATGATCCTAGTTATCATATAATAAACATATATGTAATCAAATTAGTCAATTAATAACTAATTAATCAAGTTAAGACACCGTAGGTCATGGAAACACTTTGATTCAAGTGTTGTAGGTACCAAAGGGTTGCATCTAAGGGTTGTATGGCATGACATTGGAGTTTATGGCCCATGAACCGCCCGTTTATGGAGTTTACGGCCCATGACCATTTCCCCATGAGTTTATGGCTGTAAACTCATGGTACTAAGTGCCAAATTGTGTATTGAGGTCTTACAAGTCATGATTGGGCATCAAATGATCAAGTCTAAGCCTTAGGAAAGCATTAGGGGCACATTAAGGCTCATTTGTGGAGTTTACGGCCAAAGGACCATATCCTTTGGTGTTCACGGCCGTAAACTCTCTTAGGGACATGTTTTGATTGTTGTTTAAGGTCTTAAACACTTCTAGGGAGGATCAAGATTGGCATCCAAGGCTTAGGAAGGGACTAATGTCCATTTTACTACCTTAAAAGGGGTTTACGGCCCAAGAACATCCTTGGCCGTAAACTCCTTTGTTCTTGTGTTATTTGATGATTTTCAAGTGTTATCAAGTTCATATTAAGCACACAAGAAGCTAGGGCAAGTGTACTTACAAGATAGAAGCTTGATTTGGTGTTTAAGGTCCAAGAACACTAGTGTGTATTCTTGGTGTTCTTGGTGTTTTGAAGAACACTTGAAGATCTAGCTATAAATCAATAATGAATGGATGAAATTATGTATAACTACTAGATGTTAGGTTATAACAACAAATCAAGTTGAGAAACACTTACGTTTTCGAAAGATAGGGTGAAGAACAGGATGATAGTTGAGAGAGAATGGGGAGTAAACTCTAGAAGGGAAGTAAGAAATGAGGAGTTTGGGGAGTAAACTCATGCCTAAGGCATGAGTTCAAAGCCACAAGGGAATTTACGGCCCAA